TAGGAGATAAAAAATAAGGAGAAACTGAAAACCGAATCTGGGACATTTTGGAGCATGGGACAAAGTGGAATAAAACTGATTCCCAATTCATTAGTAGAGAGTAATGCATAATCACATCTTGTTAAACTGGGCATGTAACTTCCCACTTATTTCAAAAATCTAATGGAAGAAGGAACTCTTTTGGCAAGTTCCCTTTTCTTGTTGATCGTTTGGCAAGTTTCCACTTCTGTTAGGATTGTAAATTTTTAAAACTGTGATGATGTGGCCTAATGGGAGGGGCTCAGAAATATGAATGTTGTATTTTCACGTCATAGTTTAAATTTGGGTAAAATAGAAAAACCTCCCCTAAAGTTTATGACAATCATAAAAACCTCCCGTCTATTTTTTAAAAATTCAACAAATACCTTCTTTCCGTCAATGATCAAAATGGAAAACGTAAAAGAGATGATCATTTTTTTCAAAATACTTATTTTACCCTTTTACGAATTAATGTGCATCTATTTTTACTAAAATAGCCCTGTTCATCTTCTTCCTAACAACGCACAGTGGTATAATGGCAGTGCACTCTCCCCTCCAATCACCGGTAGTGCATATGGTATGGCCATATACTTCTCTGTTTGGTTGGATTTGCCTGATCAGTAAATGGAATCTAACGAATTCTCGTTGCCCAATTTCCCAGTGTCTCAGCTTCACCGGTCACAACTCTCTACCGTGCTCTAGAACGCTGATGGTACCGATTTTTGGTCCATCTATAACCAAAAAAATTTTCATCTCACACTGACGTCCGATGGTTTCTTAATAAATATTGTGGAGGAGATGGACAAGATTGGGCTGGATTATTTCAGAAGGAAAACAACCCGAAACGTTTGGTCGATTGTTGGATTTTAATCTCATAAGAGATAAAATCCAATGGGTTTGATTGATCAATTACATGAGAAATTGCACTTGCACACTTGATTGAAAAATTAGCTTTTATCTTACAAAAGCCAGTTTTGAACTTGTCGCACATTGGAAAGTTATAAGCTTTGTTTTCAGTATTTTAATAGGAGCTGATTTACACTCCTTATAAATAGTAGAGGAGAGTATGGGGATTTGATACCATGCAACGTGCACGCATGCATGTGCATGCGTGTGTGCGGCGCAATGAGACGCTTTAGAGGTGCACTTTGCTCGCACCCGCGTGGCTCGCGAAGGGCGGCTTTGGTTTTGGTGCGATGCTGACTGTTGATCACTGTTGATGAGATCAACGGTCATGATTTGATCGGGTGTGATCAAGAGACACAATTCAAAGTTAACAGTCATTAACTGTTAACTACTTTTTAAACAGTCACAATGTTTGAAATTGTGACTTTTCAAGGTGCCTTCTATGAACTAGCACCTACCTTTTCTTCATACCTCTTCATAAACTATTTAAGGAGCATGAATTAGACTTCAAAAACATACATTTTTGAAATCCGCTTTCTCTCTCTCTCTCAGTTGGTTTGCTACTGTATCATAGAAGGTTTGTTCGGAGATTCTTCAACTTTACCGGTTGTAGATTTTCGCCCAAGGCTCTGTTGTATCATGGGAACGAGTTTTCCTGTAACCCAACAGCAAACTCAGTGAAACTGAATGGGGGTAAATAACATTTTAAAGACAGTGTCTTCAGACGTGCCTCAGAGCTTCTCCTCCAAAGTTACAGTAACCCCATTTTCCAACACCGATTGGTCCTACTTTTTCTTGCTTCATGAACAAACCTCGTGTCAATCAAGTAGATGATACCATAAGGAATATCTGTGTCAAATGGCTTGACGCTCATCCTATGAATTTAGTTCTATATGTACCCTTTGGTTCTCATAACAATATCTCTCCTTCCCAAATGAAGGAACTAGCAAAGGCTTTGGAGGCAAGCGGCAAATTTTTCATTTGGGTTCTTAGGCCACCGGTCGAATTCGACGTTAATGAGTAGTTTAGAACTGAAGAGTGGATGCCAAATGGATTCGAAGAACGAATGAGAGAGAGCAATCGATGGCTACTAATCCGCAGATGGGCGCCTTAATTGGAAATTTTGTCACATAATTCTACTTGTGCATTTCTTAGCCATTGTGGTTGGAATTCAGTGTTAGAAAGTTTGAGCTAGGGAGTGCTGATAATAGGTTGGCCATTGGCTGCAGAGCAATTCTTTAACTCAAAACTGTTGGAGGAGGAGATGGAGGTGTGCGTTGAAGTTGCAAGAGGGAAACTTTGTTCCTCTTGCACACATAAGACTCCAGTGCGTATTTAGCGTGATGAGCTCCAACAATGGCAACTTCAATGGATCGCATGGCAACAGCGATGTCACAGTGAGCAGATCGCATGAACAAGAGAAGCAGAGTTGTGAAAGACTTGTAGGTTTCTTTGACCTGGTTCATCGTTTCTTCGAACAGTTCTGGTGCAGGCGTTGCCGCAACTAGATAATGGGTTACCGATGGATGTGTGTCAGTTGTCAAGAGTCGAGACTCAATTTTTAGAATTGCCGCCTTGTACGACGCCACCACGTCCCTCAACGAGACCAGCCCCAGTGATTCTCCTTTTCCGGTTCCTGTAAACCTCCTACGAAACTTGCCTTTCAGATAGACCAGTCGCCTCAACTGTCACCACTGCAACGTCGGCAGCACTCATCTTCTTCGAATCCCAAGGACAATGCACCTCCTACAAGCCAACATATGCCCTCTTCACTGCCGACACTACTTCGAATACCTCCCCCATTAACACCTCCATTTCCCTCACCTTCTCCACACTCACCAGCTTATTCTTCTCCACACTCACCAGTATATATGCTATTCTGTAACTTACGAAATTTGCAGAATGATTAGCTGACCTTAGCTTGTGCTCAGATCGTAACGAGAATCTGGATGGGTTGTCTGTAAAAGGGAATTGAATGTAGAAGTTGCTGATCTTTGATTTCCTTTTCGACGTTCCTCCGATCGGCCTTTTTTGGCCCAAAAAAACAGAAAACCACCGCTACAGGAAGTTGATCGGCCTTGCCATTTTCAAGCAACCAGAGGAACAGAGTTTCACCCTCGTACAGATGGCAAAGGGTATTTTAATAAAAATAGGTATACAATAACTCATATAGAGGTAAAATAGGTATTTTGAAAAAAATTATCATCGGGTTAATGTTTTCCGACTTGGTCATTGACGAAAGGAAGGTTTTTATCAATTTTTTTTTAAATAGGAGGGAGGTTTTTATGATTGTCAAAAATTTCAAGGGAGGTTTTTGTATTTTATCCTTTAAATTTTTATATATAAGTACATTTTAACTCATTTTGTGCATAGTAAAGTTATTTTTAGTTCATTTTTTTATTAATAATATCTAAGATTTTGATGAATTTAGTTTAATTTGCTTATGCTAATTAATATACAATTATAATCTGAAATCAAATTGAATCCGATAATTATGATTGATTCAAATTCAAATACAAAGGAATCAAAATTGAATCTGACTATATGTGATTTACTTTAATCCATTTGCAACCATACTCCTTCCAACAAAAATTGTGTTGGGACAGTTTTGTTTGGAGAAATCCTAGTTATTTAACGCTTTAGGCCTTTGGGACATTTAAAGATAATAACTAATATAATATTGCAGCTACACATGGAGAACATCTCATCCTCCTACATAATATTATGCAAGGGAGATGTTCCCAATTCACGGGGGTAGTGTGTTGTGGGTAGATGTGGGCAATGCTCTCGTGGGCAAGAGATCTAGAGTCGCTAATGAGGGTGAAAGTCAGGCCAAGGTTGACTGCCACATGGACCATTAATCCAAAGGGTACATCTAGGCGATGTTTGGCATTGATGCCATTGTCCTAGAAAACGGTGACACATCAGCGCCACATTTGAAAAATTGGTGCTTCAGAAAATGGTAACATATTTGGAACCATTTTTCCATAAAAAATGATACTCCAAACCACGCCTTGGAAATCAATAAGGTGTGGTCTGGGGAAATGCCGAATTCGGCGTTTTCTCAACTTGGAACTCGTTGTTGTCAATGAGGACATGATGTGGCAGTGATGTGGATTTCCTATAATGGGTACCCGTGCTGAAAACAGATATGGAACACTGATACCAAACAAAAGGTGTTGCTGTTGCCCTAGGAAATGTCCTACCTGGCAGCAATGTTTCCAAACAAAAAAAAAAAGACATCGTTTTCTCAAAAAATGGTGTTTCCAACCCACACATATACATCATCATTTTCTCAGAAGCATCAATGCCAAACATATACCTAGTAGAGCTAAGGGGACATGTCATGTACAGGTGAGAGTTAAATGGTACATTTTAAACAAAATCCACTTAATAATATTATAATAATTAATTATAACTTAAATAATTTAAATTCCCTTTAATGATTCAAAATAAATTCTATTAAAAATAAAAACAGAATTAATATATAATAAATATTATCATTATTTTAAGATTAATTAATAAAAATAAATTTAATTAAATAATTAATACAAATTAAGAAACAATAACAAAACCTGTTCAACTTAAAAACAATGTTTGGATTGTACTTTGACCCTACTAGTTTTTATAAATGGGTAAGATATGGATTAAACCGGTTCCCGATTGAAACCGGGATAAACCAGAAATTTGGTACGGGGACAGGACCAGATCGGCTCCACACCCAAGACGCTCTGTCCTTTGGCAAAATTGGTTGCGTATTCCAACAGCCCAATTAGAGGACTGGATATTGTCACCTATAAATCACGTGTTCCGTTGGAGTCTCGTTTGCTAAATTTACATCTGCATCCCACAAACGCCCCAAACCCAGTAGGGCAATGTTACGTGTGAAATTGTGAATCCGAATATCCGATCAATGAATACCACAAACACATTAAAGGGAACGTGGAACTCTTTCCTTTGGGGAACGAGAAGAGAAGAACCAAATGAAAATGGTGTAGTACAGGTTATATGCCACGTGTATTTTGTTTTTTACGTGCCGGTCATAAATTGAAAACCAAAACCGGTGTACTTTTCCGAAGGTTCATTTCTACGTTTCCACTTTTTCCAAGAAAGTAGGCCGAATAGCAGTCGAGAGCGAGCGCTCATTTCTCACCTACCCCCGCCCCACCGGCTCCCTCCTTCATCCTTCGTTTCTCAACGAAATCTGACCGGAGACGAGAAGGCGAGACTATGAGCGGCGGCTGGTTTCTAAGAAATGGTGGGAAGCGCTGCCTCCATGGACTGGTGGGGAGATATTCCATACCGAACTTTTGTGTTTCAATAGAAGCCCCTTTTCTAACAAAGCAACAGTCAAGAGCTTACTCTCCAACACCCCTTCTTCTATTCAGGAAGCTCAAGGGGTCCGGCATCTCTACTTCTTTTTATTCTTCATCTTTGTGTTCTTCGTCTTCTTCTCGCTCTTCTTCTTCTTCTTCTTCTTCGACGACTAGTAGTTTTGTTGGATGGTATTTGGGCATGATCGGATCCCATCCCGTTCTCACGAAAAGCATCACTTCTGCCCTTATTTATACAGCTGCCGACTTGTCCTCTCAGGTAACCCTAATATTCTCTTATTCTTCTTCTTCCATTTATAATTAGTTTTATTTATGATCCATTCCACCATTTAGCCCAACTGCTCAAGCAGTACTGAATCTTGTCGTACATCACTTTCTGAGGTCCATACTCTGTTGATGGTGCAAATGGACTTCTGTTCGACTTTTTAGGCTCCACCAGTTGCACGTAAAATGAAGGAAAACCGATGATTTCCTGAAAATTGCTATTTTACGATGTTTGATTTCACGTAAAATGTATGTGGAAAATAAACATTTCCCAAAATGTGAGTACTGGTTGTAGGAAAATGCCATTCCTCCCAAATTTCTGTGAGTTATTTTCCAAACAGAAGTTAGCCATCTCTATTCATATTTTGCAACACTCAACTACTCAAATTTGTTTTCAAATCTAAGAAAAACACCAAAACACCAAAACACCAAGAAACTTAGCAATACTTTTTTTTTTTCGTTTTCCTACTGAATATAATTTTAAGGAAACCATTATTTTCCTTTATTTTACGTGCAACCACTCACAGCCTTAGTTTCTAAGCGAAAAAAATAACATCCTTGCAAAGAGACATTTCCCTTCATTTGTGTGTTATGTAGAGATTAATTACTTGAGATGAGTAAAAAAAGGAGCACAAAAAGAAATTATCTTTCTCTTCTGAAAAAAGAAGCATAAAAAGAAATTATCTTTCTCTTCCAAAAAAGGAGCATAAAAAGAAATTACTGCAAGAACGCCACCCTGACAATAACAAATATAACAAGGAAAGCGGGTCTGCCCTTACTTTAGTAATTTTGCTGGTAACCCATTGAGCTCAAGAAGTACAAAGATCATGTATGATGCCTCTTTCCTACATAAAATGGCAATTGAGGGAATACCAGCTCTTGACCTTGTCCATTTTCTTGTGAGAAAGTGGATGTCAGCCATCACACCAAATTAAGGGCACTATATGACTATACTTGTTTTAATAACGAGGGATAAAGTGACAATGACCTTTTGGGTTCCTGGTAGCATTTTAAAAGCAAGAAGCACCATTCAAGTGCAAAGAGTTCCTAAAGCCTGTGACACATGGCTGAAAGAAGTGAGGTATCACAAAAAAAAGAAAATTTAATATACAGGCATATGCAAATCAAGATTCTGAAAGAAATAAAATATTTCAAAAAGCTTGTTAGCTCAACTTGGTTAGAACATTATGTGTTATTAAAACAGTTATAGGATCATACATTCAAGTTCCACATGGTCTTGAACTGTTTAAATCTTATAAATCATAGGTTCATTCTACAATATAGTAAATTACCTATTCAGCATTGTTCAAGTTTAATTCATCAAAACTGAACAACAATTCAGGTTAGGCATACATGGGTACATAAAAGCCAAACACCAGAAAATGAGCCTCACCTGAGCCAACTGCCTAGGTATGCCTGACACATGATTTTTGAAACGTTGGTTAATGGAGCCACATATAGTTGGGATATGGCTTTAAACAGAACGGAATGGTGAGACAGGATTCATGTAGCCGACCTCATATAGTTGGGATAAGGCTTGGATGATGATGCTGGTGATTAATGGAGCCACAATATTTATCATTTGATAAATATCATGGCTTGATATTGTTAAAAGAAAATATCATGGCTCGATATCTTTCTTTCCTTCTGCTGCGTTTAAGGTACGGATGGGAACTTCAAAAAATATGAAATGATGATTACCAAATGTAGGTCTCTATTGCTTGTATAGGAATAGAAATTGAGATGTAATAGCGGAGGAGATGACTAAACCAGAGATGGATGAAACGGGTATAAGTTTAAATAACTATCCAATGAGGCCATCACATCAAGTATGTGGCAGGCAGATGTGTTACTTGCATATTCAAGCCTTATAGGGGAAGAAAAGCCAATAAGGGCGGTGCTACTACCTGTAATGTAAGGGCTGAAACTAGAAAGGGCAGCAGGTTACTGGGGTAGCAAATTGAAGGAGACTCAAGATCAATCATAAGCTGGATAAGAGGAGAGGCATATGGTCCTTGGATCTTATGGAGCAGGACATAGAGGCTAAACTCTTGTGTGAAAGAGTCTATTGGGTTAAATTTTTAGTGATTGTGGGGTTCTCAATAAAGCAGGGAAATGGAAATGTGTTATGCTATATGGGTCTTTATTTATGTACAAAAACATGTACATCTTGTACATACATCACCATTTTCTGTTTTCACAATAGAAGTCTAGAATTCTACTTTGCTGAATCGCTGATTAAAAAAACACTCAGATGTGTCAACTCTTCCTTTTTAATGGTAATATTCTCTCTTGTGAAATTTGCATGAAAAGGATCAATTGATAAAAAAATTCTGAAGTGTATTTGAAATTTGAACCTGTAACTCAATAGTTTTATATTGTCAAATGTTGTGTCTCCCTTTGCTGGTTTTCTATATGAATGATTTTACCTATGGTACATCATTATATCCCGATTCTATAAAAAACTTTTCTCAGATGATCTCGGAAACATCTTCAGAATCTTTTGATTCAATAAGAACACTACGTATGGCTGGATATGGAATGTTTGTTTTGGGACCATCACTTCACTTCTGGTTCAACTTTATGTCAAGAGTCTTTCCAAAGCGGGATATGGTTACTACCTTAAAGAAAATTGTTATGGGGCAGACTGTTTATGGACCTACAATGACTGTTATTTTCTTTTCTCTGAATGCATCTCTACAAGGTAAGCAAGATGTTCCTTTTTTCAATTATGGTATTTATTTTATTTTATTTTTGTCTGTCACAACTACTGTTTTGTTTTTGTAATGATGATTTCTTGCATCTCTGTGTTCTTGTTATAAAATCTCTTTCTAGTTTGACAGGAAAAGGTAAAAACTTAACTGAATAAAGAAAAGAGGAGGTAAAAGAAGATTATACTTCACATGCAATGATGCAAGGACAATTTTGTAGCATCATTTTACAAAGTAAGGCTTATGTCTTGAGGTTTGCCTTGGAGCAAGGCTAGGGAAACCACCCTGAGGCTCAACTTTCAGGCTCATGCTAAAAGTGGAAGGGTCTTCTACACTTGTGAATTGTGATGACTCTTACCAAGAACAAGCATTTCATACATTAATTGAACTAGAGTTCTCATCATAAGACTGGGTTAAAGGCCAATTCTGTGTCTTTTGCTTATATCTACATAATCTGTTTTAATTTTTTTTTGTGTTTTTAACCTATGTTACATGGAACACTTCAAAATGAGTGCCATACCTGTATTAGATCTGTATGGATGTGAAGAATGAAACGACACTTGAGGGGATTCTTTTCTTTGACACATTTGTAATATGTGACCAATGAACCTCAACCCCTTAAGGTAAAATTTGGACACAAGTGGTAGATTTGTAATACTTGATAATTTAGTATAATCATTCTTTGTTTCTTACTTTTTTAGTGTTGTTTGCATTGATTAATGTGTCTTGTTGGCAGTTGATAGTGTAGTCAGGGGCTTTTTTTTTATGAGTAACTGCAAAATTTTATTAAAGATTCAAAATGCTTCAATCATTACAAGCATCCTGTGGATAGGGTAGTGATTACTACCCTACCACTTCAAGGTATACAGATTACAAACAGGCCCAAAACAACTGATTTCTATTGATGCCTTGCTTAGCTAGAGTATCAGCAATCCCATTTTCTGTTCTCGGCACTCGTATCTTTAAATTTATGCTCCTCATCAGCTGTTTCAATTGTTTCATTTCATTTCTATAACCCCATACTGCTTTCTCCATGTTTTCCAAACATCAAATTACAACCATGGTGTCACCTTCTACAATCAAATTGTTTATGTTCATCTCCTTGGCCCGAATCAGTCCTTGGAGTACAGCAAGGAGTTCAGCCTTCTAGAGTTCCTTCACCAAGTGGTCTTGAGAACAAGGTAATAATATTTCCTTGTTTCTAAATTCACTTTCCATACTTGTTGATAAAAAACACCTCCCATACCTGATGGGCTTGGATTTCGCATATTGCTTCTATCAAAGTTTAGTTTGATAAACCCCTATTTAGGTGGTGTCCAAAGATTGTGGATTTTCAACTTCATTGAAGAAAGCCACTTCTCCCCACCTCCTCCACAAATCATCATATATATGTACAGGGAGAAAACAACTCCAAGGATTTTACCCAATGCACCACCCTAGCCATAATGCATTCAAATTTCAAACACTGCCTCTGGACTTATTTCCTCATCCTTGAAAATTCTTGCATCTCTCTCCCATAGTGTCCAACAAATTGATGCCCTTGTGCATCTCCACAAAATCCTATCTCTTTTCTTTGACCAATTGAAGATTCTGCATGGAAAAGACTTGCTATATTTAAGGGCACCATCCACCTGTAACCAAAGGGAGAGAAAAACTTTCCCAAATAAACACAACAAAAAGACAAGTGATTAGCAAAATGATAACAAGTCTCACTGCCAACCTTACAAAGCATGCATCAATTTGGGGACAAACACTAGTTTGGCCTCTTCTTTTGTAGCTTGTCCAAAGTGTTGATCTTTGCGTTTTACACTTCCCAACATAGTGCCCCAATTTTGGGAGGAATGTTTGGGGGCTTTTATTTCTTTTGTTCTTTGGCTGTTAGTTATTGGGCCTCGGCCCATTAGTATAAATAATAACTGGGTAGGACGGACAGAATACTTTTGGTTCCCCTTTTCTTTCTCCCATCTTCTCTCTTCTCCAAAATCTTTGGCTAATTCTTACCCTTGCCTTTTTCACCTCTCCCAAAACCAAGAAGCCAAAATTGTCTCTTGCCTTTCTTCTGTACCCCCTGAAACCAATTGGAACTTAAGTTTAAGAAGACCTCTAAGGAATGTAGAGAATGGAGAAGCTGCAGACCTTCTCTGCTCAATAGATGTTTACATTTCCCCTTCATCCCCTGACCAACGAATTTGAAGCTTCACCCTTCTGGGAAGTTCTCAACTAATTCCTTTTTCAGGGCCTTGGTGTCGGAAGAAAATGTTCCAAGTTTCCCTTTTAAGGTTTGGTGTTCACATATCCCTCCTAGAGTTTCATTCTTTGTGTGGGAGGCCTGCTTGGAAAAAATAAACATTTGTGATTTATTACAGCAAAAAAAAAAACAAAGGTAAGTTATACACCCCCCCTCCCCCATGTCTGTACCCTATGCCGCAGTAATGGTGAATCTGCAGACTGCACTTCCTTAATCTTGTAGGTTACAGCTGGGCTGCTCCTGAACATATAGAAGAATTCCTTTGACAATGGCAAGGTAGTTGTCTTGGTAGAAGAGGGAAAATTTTTTGGAATACGGTGGTCCAACCAGTGTTGTGGGGTGTGGGAAGAGAGAAATAACCATATTTTTGAAGAAAAAAAGGTAGATTTGTGGGTGATTTGATCACTCAAATATCTTACTTGTGTAATTTGTGGGTGCTGAATCCTACGGAATTGAAAGGGGTTTCTTTGAAGTTTGAAAAATCTACAGCTGAATGTGGTGGAGATCTTGTTTTCTTCCCCCATCCCTCAAAGAGTTCCCAAACTCCTTCTAGATAGGAATGAGGAGGGTTTTGTTTTAAATTTTGATGGTAGTGCTTTGGGAAAATCTCAGTACAGTTGGAATTGGAGGTGTGTTAAGAAGAAGAGATGGAAGCATTTGGTGGGCTTTCGGTGGACCCATTGGGATTACTGACTCCACAAAGGCTGAGGTTCCAGCTGTCCTATCTGGGCTTTGAATAGCAAAAGAACAGAGATTGTCTAATCTAGCTATCAAAGGAGGTTCTGTCAACAACAGTTTAGAAAGATATGGTCCTTGAAGGCTTGCTCACTTTCTGATCGAAGCAAGAGATATTTTGAGTTCCATGACTGTGAAGCTCATCTGGATTCCTAGGGAGTTGAACCATTTAGCTCATAGTTTGGCCAAATCTGGTGCTCTTGGGGAATTTTTTACAGTGACAGAAACCTGCCTTGCAGCCCCTTGTTTGGCAAACATATCTGCCAGCCTATTTACACTCCTTCTAATCCACTTGAAGTCAGCATTGATATCCTCTGCTAATATTTGAACTTCCCTGAATATATGTTTAAGAATCCATGGAATATGTCTATTACATCTTGCCCAAGAAATGACTATTTTTGAATCCCCTTCCACTCCCACTTGTCGAAAATCCAATTGCTTTACCAATTGGAGTCCCTGCAGTAAAGCCGGTAACTCTGCCTTCACTGAGTTTGTGATGCCAATTGGCCGTGAATATCGAGCCACAATCTTACATTCTGAATTCTTGATTGCTCCACCTATTCCTGCCAATCCCAAGTTGCCCAAAGAGCTGCCATATCAAAGTTCAATTTACTTTGTTAACTTCTGGTAGTTTCCACTCAACTCTTAGTTTTTCCCTTTCTCTTGATGACTGTGCTATTTATTTCCATTCCCTTAGGATATCTGTAACTAAGAAAAACTGTCTAATGCTTTTATCTATAAGGCAACACTCACTTTTATATTGTTGGTTACCTCCTCTAAAGTTCTACTTTTTCTAGCAAAAATTCTGTTATTCCTTTCCTCCCACACTACCCAAGCAATAGCTGCCTCAGTGGCTTTCCACATTATTCTTCATCTTTTCTTTGTTGCCTCAAGAAGTTTGGATTGAAAATATCCATCACCTCTTGGGGAGGGTCCCACCTACAACCCAAGAAAGAACAGAAAAAATCCCAGATACGGAGTACAAAAGAACAAGAGATTAGTAATCGGGATAGGGACTCTACTATCCTTACATAAAAAGCACATATGGGGAGAGAGGCAGGAAAAAGGCCTCCTTTTTTGCAACAAATCACATGTATTTACCTTACCAAGGAAGAGAGTCCAATAGAAAGCTTGAATTTTTGGTGGGACAGGCTTACTCCAAATTTCTTTCACTAGGAGAACCACCCCTTGGGAGTTTGGAGCTAACAGAGGCAAGATGTTTGAAAAAAGAGGAGCAGGAGAAAAGTCCATATGAGGAAAATACCTAGAACCTAGAGTCTTCTAGGTTTGGGTCTAAGAAAACTGTCTGCTAAGTTCAAAGAAGATCAACCAACAAATTACATTCTATTTAGTCTTTTCGCAAGACCTCTTCTGAAACCAAGGTTCCAGTTGATACCTGATTGGGAAGGCACTCCTAAACTAGATATGGTTTGATTATTGAAATTAGAAAGGGCATAGAGATCAAGGAAATGATGTTTTAATGGTGACTCCCCTGCCAAGGTCTTCCCAGAAACGAATTGTCCCCTTTGCCCACATCATACCGAATGGAACTAATAAAAATAGGGTATATATCATGAATAGCTTTCCAAGGAGAGTCTGAAGTCAAGTGAGGAGTCATTTGAGCATCCCAACTATTACAATCCAGACCATGAATGCTTGCAATTACCTTGTGCCACAACATGTCTCTTTCAAAAGGAAATCTCCACAACCATTTACCCAACAAGGCAGTATTCCTACGAGCAATGTTTCCAAATCCTAGATCCCTTGCTCTTCTGGCTTACTAACCTGATCCCACTTGACCAAGTGATCCTTTTTCTTTTCTCCTCCCATGGTTTCCATAAAAAATCTCTCTAAGAACAGAACTGGAATAAGTAAACTATTGGCGAGCTGGCAAGAAGAGCTGATGTGGCAAGATAAGCTGCTGTGTGGGCCCCCCTCACAGCTGCTGCCGGCGGCGGTAATTCTTCCCACGAATGCATCCACAACAGCCTGGGCCCATAACACTCTCAT